AAATGGGAAATGATCATACTTTTAATGCTTCCAATTTTATTTTGTTACTGAATTTCAGTGGATTTTCTTGAATAAATGTTTTTCTGTTTACAGTATGCCCTTAAGCTGATGTCCAAGACTTTAAATTTAACTAGTTGTTTAATGTTTGAAAAGGATTAGGAGAAAAGGATTGCAAAAGTCTTCACCCAACCATTCTAGAAATACTGCTTTGTTATTGTTCTTGTTAGAGAAAGTGCTTATATTATGCCTTTCCAATTTTACATCAAGCATCATAGAAACTGGTTATTTTCATTTTTAGACTTTATCAGTGAGTACACCAATTATTAGCTTGTCACAACTTTTTAAAAGGACACAAATATAAGTATGGTTCTTTGTGAAATTATGTTCATTAAGCAAATCGTATATTTTATATGAATGGGCTCAAGTTGCACAAAATGCAGAGATGCTATCATTACTAGTTTTTGATTTAATGTTTCAGTTTGAAAATTACTTATAACTATGCTGATTTCTAATTTTTGTCTTATCATTTCTCATACAGATTTGAAACCAGAATTGATTCATTTTATATTACTGGATTACCAGATAATTCAGAAAAACCATACCTCCTGTCATCATTGGATAATCTGTCACTCTTCCAAATTATATTTGAAATAAATCCATTAGATGAAACTGTTGCCCAGAGATGTATCATAGAAGCTGAACCTTTAGAAATAATATATGATGCAGTAAGCATTTTCTATATTGCCAAGTTTTAATTTAATTGAATTTGCTTTGAATTTGCGTTTCATGTTAATAATAATTGTTTTAACAGAGGACAGTGAATAGTATAGTAGAGTTCTTCAGACCTCCAAAAGATGTACATCTAGCACAGCTCACTTCAGCAACTTTGACAAAACTTGAAGAATTTCGAAACAAAACAGCAACAGGTAAATTTATGTTGTTGAGTTGAAAGATATATGCTATATTAAACTCATATTTATGTTAGAATGATTCTAATAATAGCTATGAATTAAAATTTCATACCATTTAATTTCTTTTAGGTATGTGTCTTTCCAGTTATACTCAGATTGAAATTGTGGGTTAAAAACTTTTTTTCTTTGTAAGAAAGTACTCAAAATTTATACTCAGGTTTATTTAACAGTATTACATCTATTTGCCAACAAATACTGTTTATATTGGAAATATTCAAGGTTTTTAAAAAGATTGACATTGATTGTTCATTATTTTAAGACTTTTATCAACTCATTTGTCTAGTGATAACCTGTTTTATGAGTTACTTGTGAAAAATTTTCATTGTGAAGATTTAAATTTTCTACAGGTCTACTGTATATTATTGAAACACAGAAAGTTCTTGATCTCAGAATTAATTTGAAGGCTTCGTATGTTATTGTCCCACAAGATGGAATTTTTAGCCCTACATCAAATATACTTCTTTTGGATCTTGGTCATCTAAAGGTAGACACTAATAATATTTGATTGATTAAGTGGCATTTAGGGTGATTCTCTATGTGGAAATATACCTTGGTTATTAGATAATTTGATTAGTCTCAGATTTGATTTCATTGATGTATAGATTTATGGTTGATACTAGGATTTGAGAAATCTTCCTTTCTGGTGAACAAAGTGGATATTCATTCACATTTTAGTGTTGTTGAAAAATTAAATTTTCATTCACTTAAATTTAACTCTCCATGCCCCTACTCCTGACATTTCTTTTTTTGGGGGGGTAGGGGGGTCCCTTCATGGGGCCTGAGCACTGTCCCTCAGCTCTTCAGCTCAAGGCTAGTGCTCTACCACTTGAGCCACAGCACCACTTCCGGCTTTTTTCTTTTTGCTTATGTGGTGCTGAGGAATCGAACCCAGGACCTCAGGCATACAAGGCAAGCGCTCTACCACTGAGCCAACTTCCCAGCCCTACTCCTGACATTTCTAAATCAAATGACTAATTGAACTCTGCTGGTCAGGGGTAAACTTATGAATTACATTTATTCACTTTGATAGTCATGCTTAAAAACTTTATTTCCGCCGGGCGCTGGTGGCTCACGCCTGTAATCCTAGCTACTCAGGAGGCTGAGATCTGAGGATCGCGGTTCAAAGCCAGCCCGGGCAGGAA